TTACGGTATGCGCCTTTATAGGAGTTCCCTGTCGATATTATTACAGCACGTATTAACTAATTTAATCAAACCCCATACCGGATCTGTGTTAACATAGCTGCCACTGACACACGGGATTGATCACTCGTTCGAAATGTTTTCATAATATTACGAAGTTTGGTATTGTTGGTAAAACTTATAAGTAAGATTTCTGGGAACAGCTCGAAAATTTTATGTTTGTACCCCTTAAAGTATTTCTTAAATTTGCGTGTCTGACTAAATATATCATTAAAACATTTTAATTAAACAATCATTTTAAAACACAAAGAAAAACTTATAAAAGCGTTTAATCTAATCTGATGTACTCAATTAATGTGTAGAAATATTAACCTCAAATGTTGGTAAAAAGATGACTCTATCTTAGCTTTGTACCTTATGTCAAAATTTATGCGAAAATGCGTGTATATAGTATTTTTAAGTGTTTTAATAAAATCCTAATCATCCCTTAATTTTCTTTGCATTAGTCTGACTCTCTTACCTCTGTTTAATTCATGCATCAAATCATCAAACATTGCTTGAACGAGATCGAAACGAAAATTATGAATAATAAGGTTAAGAAAAGTAATTTTTTGCTTTTAATAAAAAGTCCGCTTGGCTTTATTTTCATCAGATACATTTTAAAAAGAAATAGGTACTTACTTCAAGGTGCAGTGATCCCTTAAATTTTTGTTCGGCTCAATTAATGTTCACTGGATCATACTTTCAAATCAACCATAAGATCCTTACTCGATATTTATTGATATTTTACATAATGTTGCTCAGTCGAATGTATGAATATAATTGATAAAGACATAAAAATCTTACTTTTTAACTTTTGTTAAATATATATATATATATATATATATATATATATATATAGACATATTGAATTTACAACTACAGTCTTATGATGTATATATATAAATTTTATTTTAGGCATAGTAGAACTCTTTTAAATAGTTTTTTTTTTGCTGGCTGTTTAGGACTTCTATTACCTGTGAAGTATTTCTATGCATACCTCACATATGTAAAAATGTGGGTAAAAATCTTAGATAAATTGTTATTACCATTTAAGAGTTAAGGGAAGTAACCATTGGAATTAACTATAGAGCAACACGACTGATGTTAGCCGTGTTTCGCTATGGAATTAACGAATGGTTTACAAAGATAGGAAGTGAATTTAAATCATCAGTCAGGAATGTATAAAAAAATTGTAGGAATGAAGAGTACTGCGCATAAAAAATAATAGTTAATGTCGTCAACAAAACTCTTATTTTATAATTTGAATTAGAAAAATACCTATTTATACACTATGAAGAATATATTGAGTGCATAGTTAAATTATTTGTGGTGACTTCGGGAAAATGATGATAAAACATACTTACGAACACGACGAGTATACAACCTCCTTTTTTGTTTGAAGTCGATTTCATAAGAAAAAAGTATGTTTTTTTATTTGGTTTTATTTATCTGCAACATAAAATGAAATATTATTTTGAGTACAAGGAAAAAGATTGCCAATATAAATTGCCCTCGTTAGGGAAAAAATAATTAAGTATCTCTGGAGAATAAAAGGGTTCATTCGATTGAGGTAGGTACCTACTTACAAAGGTTGAGGTGCCTGATTAAAGTCCGCGCAGACTGCGTGCTGCAACAAAGACGGCATAATGAAGAAGAGGGGTGTGAAGCGAACAGCCGGAGAGCAAACACCATTGCAATATTAATCCGTACTAAAGCAATTTACTTTGAGATTAAAATTTCGATGAGGTAGGCACCGACTTACTCCATTTATTCCCTAAAAAATTGTTTGTCCGGAAATTATTATCCATAACATGTTTCTTATGAGCGTCAATTAAGTACCTGTATCCTGTAACTGTATCTTGGAAATTTATGTTTACTCATTATTAATTTCTTAATTATCTAAAATATGTTTTTTTTTAAATAAGTACCTACTTGGTATGTTTAAAAGTTACTACTGAGCTTTGTAAGCTGTGAATTTTAACCAGCAAGCAGTAGCGAATTTGTATAAAAAAAGGATTCAACAATTGAAACGGATTTTGGAAAGGATACTTAATTTTGTAAGACTTCGTATTGTCCCTGGTCTCAATTAAACGTACAAAATTAAGATTTGGTGACCAATCTACACCAAGATACTGTGTGTTAGGTTATTGATTCTGGTACTTAACAAAAAGTGGGAGCCAATTTGAACGAGCCCTTTTTAGCAGACAAAAGACTGTGTCCTTGAGACGTCTGAGAAGTTTTATTCAAACACTGTGAATGATTTTGGGGAGGAAATAGATTCTCGAGGTAACACAGTATTGACTACTAATACAAACAAACACTACTTGAATATATCATTATCTCAAAAATACAATAATAGTGTGGATATTATAAGCAGAAAGCTTAGCTTATAAAGCCTTTGTGCCAAATTATTTCGAAGGCCTTGGAAATATCTAAATATTAGCAAGTGCAAATTGTCTAAATGTTATTTCAATGCTGAAAATAAGTCGCATATGGAGCATTTTCGGTGAGAAGGGAGCTCACTTCCGCTGGGCCAAGATTTTATGTACTCCCGGACGGTGATCCTTCACTTGTACATGCTTTTGGAACTTGTACATGCTTTTTACTAAATGTTATTACTTTTGTGTTTATCAAAATGTGCAATGTTATGGGAACAATATAATAAAAACAAATGATATTTAAAGTTTGTTAAATATTAACATTATTATCATCATGTTCCTACTATCAGTCTGCCATTTCAATAAATATAAGCCTGAATTCTATGCTACCTAACTTTAGTTTGAGCTTAATTTGTATCTGAAACATTGTTTAACAAAATTTTATACGCTGGGTATTTTCCATGGTCTTAAAATGTAATTTCTATGGTAACCGAAGGAAAATGCCAGTGGCCATTAAGAAAAAGAATGTGTCACAATGATTTTCGGTCATTTATCCAAGCTTTTTAGGATTTATTTTCTTTGAACTTTGCTACCGTTTTGCGGCTCAAACATAATTCCGCCATTATTTTGGAGTCATTATCTGCCTTTTATTGTTCCAACAGAAAATACAAAAGTCAATACTTTTGTTTGTTTGTTTTTTTTTGGTTTTTTAATTAAGTCGATACGTTGTTTATTAATAAACCGCTGGTATTCCTGTCTATCTTTTACGATAGGTCATAAGCGATAAACATTATAATTAGGTACAATTTGAAGTTGTCTTGATAAGTTTTGATAATTGTGTTTCTCTCTTCTCTACAATTAAATAATATAAAAGTAGCACTTTTACAGTGTGCAATGATATACAAATATTCTTACAATATTAATCACATAAATCAATATATGTATATGGACGAAAAAAACTAATAATTTGAAGCATTATTGATTTATAAATATAACAGGCCGTCGATATTTTTGCGTCATTCTTAACTGTTGCTGGTGTTTTCACCTACGCCATAAAACCATTAAAGATTTGTTATTTTTAGTCTAGCTACCATAAATCTTAAATAACTAGCGTCGTAGGCGGTTGAAAAAACTCGGCTATACTCCTTTATTGTGGTTTAACGGTTCCCACCACAACATATTACCCACTTTAAGGCGTTCTATAATATAAATTTTCCCTGAGTAACTTTTCAGAGCATATCGCACCTGGGCATTGTAAACAGCGCTGTTATCATTCTGACAAATTACTCTTCCCCTGTGTAATCAAGGGTAATTTATATCCCCTTGTCTTGCTTTTAATGTTACACGAACTGCTTATGTCTTAATCTCATCTACTTAGTTGGTTTTAAAAACACAATTCGCACACGTGTTTTTAATACAATGATCCACATTGTATTGACTAAAATTATACTTACCGGCTTCCAAAAAGTGCAATATATTTGTTTGAAAATTTCAGTCAGATTTTTTTCAAATATCGTCTTAATTTTTATGCCGTACATGTGTGCCGTACGTGTACGCACACATATATCATGTATCTTAGTATATAAGTAAATCATGTGTAATATAAACCGATCCAGTGTACTGTAACTATTTAAGGGGAATTTTCCAAAAATAATTCACTTTCTTTACCTGACCAAAAGCCATTCAGGAAATTTACATACATGAATATGGCTTAATTTCGTTATTTTTTTTAAGTAGTAGAATCAGATGCTTTGTGAAAATTTCAACCGACTACTCGCTATTACAGCTTATGAGATACAGTCAGCCCGCTGACATGGGCGCACTTATGGATGGAAACTGTTTGGGTAAGAAATCCTAATTATCGTAAATAACTCATCCATGTACCAGGGGACAGTAGTTTTTGAGATTTGCGCGGTCAACCAAACCAACAAACTTTTCAGCTTCATGATATTATTGTAGACTAGTGGCCCGCCCTCGCTTCGCTTCGGTGTAGAGCTGTAGTGTAAACTATAGTTTTTGTTCTCAGGCTTGTGCTATAAAGAATGACTTTATATAAATAATTACACGTGTTATTGTGAGTCAACCATAAAAGATAGACATATGCTGTTGCGGGATATTTTTTAAACAATTTTATGTAGAATATTTCCGTCATACATGATTTCTATGTAACTTTAACCATTAAGGCTGCACCCGCGACGGAAGCTTAAAAAATGGAGTAACTTCTCCCGTTTTCCCAACATTTTCCTTCACTACTCTGCTGCTATTGATTGTAGCGTGATGAAAAGTATACTATAACCTGCCCAGGAGTATGAAGAATAATTGTACCAAGTTTCGTTAAAATCCGTTGAGTAGTTTTTGTTTCTATAAGGAACATACACACAGACAGACAGACAGACAGACAAAAAATATACTGATTGCATTTTTGGCATCAGTATCGATCACTAATCACCCTCTGATAGTTATTTTGAAAATATATTTCATGTACAGAATTAACCTCTCTACAGATTTATTATAAGTATAGATTATGAACCTATATAACTTCCTTAGCTCACGGTTTATTTGATTGACTGTCAAAAATGCCATGTCAATGTTAAGCCATTGTCACCAATTGTCACTTAAATACAAATAAATATCCGAAAAATATACTGGTTTTTATCTTCGAATCTCGGTAAGGTCAGCCAGTTTATGAAAATAAAGGACATCGTAAAAGTGATTTGTGTTTGCAGATATCTTGTTGGCTTTAAATAGAAAATGGATATCAATTATACATATAATAAGCTTCGGAAGAACTATGGAAGACAGCCAATGTTTTGTGAAGCACCTGTACAACTACTGGACTCTATTGATCCTGATGTCACCGAACAGAAAAAATATGGATTGAGAAATCCAGTGCACCAATTATCGCAAGCTTCAAAAAGTATGTCAGAACACTACGTAAATACTAAGAGAATAGTTCTAACTGATGGCGGTGCCAACCATGCAGAAGGTGGATGGCCAAAGGAAGTAAATTTCTGGGACGAAGAATTGACTTCACGATATAGACGTCGCATCGAACGTGACGATAATTATGTAGACGCAGTTTTGGGAAAGTTCTCTAGTTTTGAGCATTTTGTGAATCAAAACAACGCCATAGAAATGTATGAAATGTATTTTGGGGAAATGAAACGAGAAAAACCTTTGGAAAAGTCATTGGTACGACTAACGAATTTATACAAAGATCCTTACAGTCGTCCAGTGTCATCTATCTCATGGACAGCAGAAGATGATACTAAAATGGTTGTGGCTTATTGTAATCGCAAGTATCCTATAGTAGGACCAGTAAACAGTACTTTTTCATGCTATGTATGGGATTTGGAAAATCCACATTCTCCACTCCTAGAATTTATTCCTCCAACAGCTTTGTGGCAGCTCGTTTGCTCTCCAGTTACTCCTTCTGTTATAATAGGTGGGCTTAATGATGGCAGAGTATGTGTTTTTGACATCCGTGATAGTCAAGCGCCGGTTTTAATAAGCCCTATGTACCTAGCCCACCGTGACCCTGTCACATCCCTGATATACATGCAGTCACGCGTTAATACTGAATTTTTCAGTGGTTCTACAGATGGAATGATTAAATGGTGGGATATAAGAGATGTTAATCAACCAACTGATTCTTTGATGATGACTATACGTGTTCCACCGGGAGAACCAGCGAGTCTTGCTTATTCTGAAGGTTTAAGTGTACTACAATTTGAGCGCACTATTCCAACAAAGTTTTTATGTGGGACTGATACTGGTTTTGTTGTCAATGTCAACAGAAAAGGAAAAACTCCTTCAGAAATAATGAGTGCTATTTACTCTGCCCATACAGGCCCCGTAAAAGCACTACACCGAAGTCCATGTATTATGAAAATGTTTATTACATGTGGTGACTGGACAATTAATATATGGAGTGATGATGTTCATACATCACCGATAATTACCGGTTCACCTCAACGTTACCAGCCGAATGATGTTGCTTGGGCCCCTCAAAGATATTCTTGTTTCATGGCTGTTACTTCCAATGGCAATTTTCAATATTGGGATTTATTACGTAGATATCGCGAACCTATAATCACGTTGCCTCTAACAACAAGTTCGTTACAAAAACTCAAGCCTAATGAAGATGGACGTCTAATTGCAATTGGTGATTCACAGGGCGTTTTATATCTTCTGTCTTTATCAGATAACTTAGTTCAGCCAGCAGATAGAGATAAGGGACTTCTGACGGCACTGTACGACCGTGAAACAAAAAGAGAACATATTTTAGAAACTCGTATTAAAGAAATCCTTTTGAAGAGAAAGACTGAAGAAGAAGGCGGCGCAGTGGTGGTAGAGGATCATGTTGATGAAGACGCTTTAGCAAAAACTGCTGAAGATGAATATAGAAAAACAGTCCAAGAAGAAATACGTCGTACAGGATACAGCGCTGCAAGTAGGGGTGGTACGGATTCAAAAATGCGAAAGCGATAAACTTCTTCCATTATAGATTTGACTTCGAATATATTAATATTATTTCGGGACACTTGTCGGTTTATTGTTGATTTATAATAAAATGATTGGATTACAAGTTCAGATGTTGTCTTTTAATGTCATGCCAATTTAGTATTAATCACAATACAATCAGTTGAAAGGTAATCTAAAAGAGTAAATTATCCGATAAGCCTGTTGCCATTATTGCTTAATGGGTCGATTCAATGAGAAACTTAGCTTCCTTTGATCGTTTTCTTACGTTAATTTATGCAATTACACTTTGGTTTGGTGTCGAAGAAACGTGACAGACAGGAAAATTGCTTTGAGCTGTCTGTGAAGTTACGTAAAGCTCTGATGTACTTCATTTTCTGTATTTCTAAATGCCATTCATCGATCTTACTTCGATGAAGATTACCTTTGCTATTTTATATTCCATCCAACATCAGTATTTCCAACTAAAAGTATGTCAATGAAATTATTTTTTTAAAATAATAAAAATATCCTTCTTATATGAAATAAGAGTAGGTTTTTCAAACATTTAAGTAATTTGAATGAAACTTTCAATATTAAATGACAAAAAAATACATAATTTGTTTCATACCACGTACCTTAAGTGGGATTTCAGATATTGCATTTATACATAGCCGGATATTATCTAGACCTGATATAAAAGTAGGTAAAAATCCACGATGAACGTATGTTCATAACTATTTACTTATACATACATACAGTCATCGTTACTTTTAATCTCATTATCAGGGTCTGCTTTACGGAGCAAAGGTCATCCCTTTTACACTACCGGACAAATGATGGCTATTTAGACGCTCTCTAGGGTTGCCATTATGTCACAATATATTCACGGTTACGCCAGCTTAGATACTGCGATTTTCTTCACCTTTAAACTATTCAAAGTCATGATTACGTGTGTCATATTTAGCACTTAAATACATAGATAGTTAACTTATAAAGACACATAATATATGTAATTACACCTAAACGAAAATGTTTCAGTTAGCGACTCGAAAGATCTTTGGGCAGATTTAGGTTTTCGTTGCCCACGTAATGTGAAGCAACAAGTTCGTAAACTGAGCTTAGATTTAATGAGTTTTCGGATAAGTCGCCCGAGGTTGTAAAACGATATTAAGCTGAAAACTTTCGAGCATGTTGAGTCGTAAAAAATATAGATTTTGTTACATCAAATCAATCTTCTTGTAAAATAAATCCCACCAAAAAACATGTTCGTGTAAACTGTTGCCAAGACGAGACCATATGACTCGCACTGCCAACCACATTTATTATTTTAATAATCATATTTACGTATTCTGCCTAACGACCAAGTGTAATCGTGCCATAATCAGACATCAGAAATCGAATCTGAAAAGAAAAGAAGACGATATCTGCTTCTTATTCAATTAGACTTTTAGGTCATAGATAAATGATTGGTCTCGCTGCTAAGCAAGACCAATCATTCATCAATGTTTTAGGTATTATTGGAGAAGTGGCATCTTTCATTGAAGACAGTCTGCTTTTTAGTCAAAATGACGTGTTAGGCATTATTGCAGCAGTGGCATGTTGCATTTCAGGCACTGTGCTCATAATCGGTCTCAACACGGTCCCTGACCAGACATGGCAGTTCTGTCAGTCTTGTGTGTCTATTCGTATTGCGTGAGTTGACACTATTCATGCCAACGAAATGAGCAAAACGACCCAGTGAAAAGAGAACTTTGTGCCATCCAGAGGTCAAAATGCGCAACCAAAAAAAAACGACGACTTTACAGCCGGGTAAATGAAAGATTTGCTATTAGATGCTTTAAAAATGTCAAATCGTGCCTAACATGGTTTATGCCACTTTTTTGTCGGGAAGCGAATTAAAATAAATAAAAGCCCATTAATTTTATAAACATAAAGATTGACAACGCTGATGCTCTAATGAAAAATGGCTAGTTATCTCAAAAAAGATCTGAGTATCGTAGTTTTTAAGCAGTTTTTTATCATCTTCTGTAGGACTAAGGATAGACTGAATTCACAAATACCTAGATTGAATATAGCTATGTCAAGTGCTGGCATTGATAACAAAAACAATTGTATGAAGAAACATTACTTGAGAACGGCTCAGCCAAAGTTTTTTTTTTGTTCACTTGTCTAAGGAGAAAGTATGTATGACAAAAAAATTTGGGTTTCCACCAAAAAGCATCCTGAAATTATAACAGTATTTCTGAAGAGAAATCTCTACAATTTTTTTTTTCTTAAATAAGTAACACCCGTGCCAAGTCGGGGTGAAAAGCTAGTACAATGTAAAGTCTTCTATCTTAATACTCCAAACTATATCTATGTTTTAAACTGTCTCTTATCAGCTTAAGGTCCATCAAACCAAATTACATAATCTCAAACTAATGTTTCACCCGTAAAGGCTTTAAGTTCGCTTTACTCGGGTAATTCAATTTACCTTAAACCGTTTGCAAACATTATTAGTCATGTACTATGACTTAATGTTGGGATGGCGACGATATGGGACGTTTCTAAGATTAGGTACCTCATCATTTTATTTACCAACTTAATAATATTATATTATGTTAAACTAAGTATTTAATAATCCATAAATATATAGTACAGCTGTACAATCTTGCACCTAATGCCGTTACTTTATTATAGTTAAGCATCTAATTTATTTTACCAATAACTTAAAACTGTATTATACACTACAAAACGACGTTCAGAAATCCACTATTAAATAAGGCTTAAACACTGCTAATAATAACGGATCGGTTAAGACAACTTGTCATATACCCTACAGAGTCAACTTCTTTAATTTACTTGTATTGTCGGATTTATACGACGAAAAACCTTTTTGTTACTTCTCAGTTAGGTGAGGTCCATAATCATTTGTACTATTCATACGAACTCGTACCTACGTGGTTATCGACCCAGCATTGCCGCCCTCACAGTATACTTCTCATATTTGCACACCCCGCGTTTATGGTGGAACTCTAATGAAAATATTTCATTATCCGTCTCCCGCTGTTTGCGAAACCGTTTCCTTGACAAGCTAATTTTCTTTGTTCGTCTGGCGTTCCCTATAGTGCCGCTTAGTAGACAACCTTTATCATAATATTTTGCTCTCGCGATAGCATATAGGTGTTTATTATCAATTTCCGATGGGTCAGGTTCATTATTTTTTTTACGTATAAATGGGTTTTATTAGCTGAAACGTTTTTAAAATTTGGTTCGATTTAAAACTTTGTCAATGGTATTGCTTTTTTTTAAGTTAAGATGTTTGGAAACTTTTATTTTGATACTTTGCTTTTAAAAAAAGATCTTGGCACCTATCAAATGATTATTTTTAAACTAGATATTTTAAAAATTAACATTACATAAATAGCTTCAAATGTATGTATTTAGGTATATCGGTGAACATCAAAACAGTTGAATCCTGTTAAAGAAACACGATAAAATGACATCTCCGAAATGTAATAACCGTTGCAATCACATTAAGGGAAGAAAACTTTTAATCTGAACACGGCTTTTGCTTAGGGAATACGGGCTATTATGAACATTATTTCAAAGTACTGTGGTGTATTTTCATTAGTGGTTGTCAATACTGAAAATATATTTTTCGACGGGTAAAAGGTTTATCTAATTCGCAGCTCACGAAATAACATAGCATTTTAAGATTATCACCAAACATAATTGTGATAAGTTAAACAAGGAAAACATTCCATGTTACGCGGAAATGCAATCCGGTGGTAAATTAATGTAATATAAACTTTTAAAGTTAAAGTGTTACAAAAAAAATGTTTTATCCTAATGCTTGTTCTTGAAAAATATATATAGAAAATATAGCCAGGGATTTCCCACTCAAAAGGGAGTGCTCGTCTGGGAAAGTGACCACAGTGAGAAACACTTCTCTTTGTTGGTGTTGGGTTTCTGTTGTGGGTAAAGTTCTAGGCCTCCCCTGGATAGGAAAGATGGCGGCAGGGGTATATATCCAGAGCCCATATAGGTACCTACCTATATTTTTGCCACAACAGTTATCTTATCTTCAGAACTGGACTGTACTTATATTGAATAAATAAATTTTCCACCTGGCGTTCTTACAAATGAGTGGTATGTACGCCAGGTTTCAAGGTATCCCTTACTCCAGGGGTCCCTGGTATTTGTATAAAAAAGATTTTTATTTTGGATGTTTATATATATTTATATATAATAATAATAATGATGATTTATTTGACAGATGATATGTGAATTCAACATTGTTTTAACAATAGTCCCCAAACTAGGTAAATCTGTCACTTGAGGACTGGAGTTGATGAGTCGACATAATAGAAATTTCCTGTATTGTAATAGGTAATTAATAATAATATAATAATAACCTTTATTTCTCACCATAATCACAATGTTGGTATTAATGGCTACATAAAAACAATGATATAAAAAGCATGCATTTTTTTTTACCAAAAATAAAAGGTACATATTGATCAGATTATGGTGGGTTGACACCTGAACTAGGATGAATCCTGTGTCTCAGGTAATCAACCCTCCACCCTATTCATAAAGTTGTGTACCATTTAGTAAACAATTTATTAATCCAGATAACTGTTCTTAAGTTATTAATTCAATGGAATAGCCAAAGGAGTTTGTTATGTGTGTGAGTGTGTGTATGTGTATGTGTGTGTGGGTGTGAGTGTATGTGTGTGTGTGTGTGTGTGTGTGCATCTTATAATGTTTAACTTATTATTTTGAATATCGTTTCTGTATTTTTATAATCTAGCGTTTTTAAACTTTTTTGAAGTGCAGTTTTAAGATTATTTCTATTTAGTTTAATAATGCTGTTTAAATCATTGTAATATCTATATAAAAATGGACTTATGAAGTGTACTTGTCGTCTAGCAAACCCTGTTCTACAATTTGGGACAAGAGTACGAATGCGTCTTTTATTTAGGGGCAGCTGCGTAGGATCCATGGTTTTATGGTAGCGGAGAACCGAGTTGTATATAAACAACTGTCGAACAGTGAGAAGCCCAGTTTCCTCGTAGAGCTGTTTGGTTGGATATCTTCTAGGCTTACAGAACATAACTTTGATCACAGCTCTCTGAGCCCTTTCT